AAAAAAAAAAAAAAAAAAAAGTTGTTACAACTCGTTTGGCATTTCCTTCCTGCTAGTTACTGCAGAGTGGATACTCCCTGCTTTTGATTTGGTCGAAAAAGGGAAAGACGATATTTGTTCCGTTTCTTTTTTTTTTTTTTTTTTTTTGGCAAAAATTTAAAAAAAAAAAAAACAAAACGACCCACGCAGCGCCCCTGCTGTTGTTTATGTTGACATAATAAATTCCTCCTGCGAAAACGCTAAAAAATAAAGATAAGAAAAACAACATAGTTTTTGTATGTGAAATGGACCACAAGAAAAAATTGACTTTCTTTTTTCCATATTTTAAATACTATCTTTTTTGAAGAGGTCAACGTAACTGTGGAGAAAGCACTGCAGTTATAACAACTCCGAGCGAATACTTACAACATTTTTTTTGTGCCTGTGCCCAACCGTGGGAGACAAGAAAAATGAAGAATTATTCTTCCATTTTTTCGCGCTTCATTTGTTACCCCGCTCGATAAAAAATAGAAATAAAGGCGTAAACGTGGGAGAAAAAATGAGCCAAGATGCAAGGCTTAACAATTACGAAGGTCACTTTCGCGGGGCAAATAATTATGGCAAATTTTGCAACCGCGAGGAGAGTCAAAATATGATTCCACGTGTTAGTGGCAGAGGAGTACCAGGGGTTCACTATGGTGGTAATCGCGCGGTGAGGGAACAGGGGGATGTCTGGTGTGGCGCGGATGAAGGAGCTGTACAGAACGGACCCGGGCAAAATAGGTCAGGACAAGGTAGGCAGACGCCCAATTGGGCTTCTACACCATGTGGACATTCCCCCAATTGGCCAATGCAGAATGGGGGTGCATCCTACTGGCGCCAAAGAGGAAGTCCTCATAATAACCGCATAGGAAGGCGCCCCTGGAACCAAGCCCCCGGAGCGCAAAGGCAACACTGGACAAGCAACAACCGTTGGAGAGACCACCACACAGAAGGTTGCCAACGTGAACAACCTGCGCACGGACCACTAACACCAGATGGAAACTATTTAAAAAATTATTTTTCCTCCTACGGGAATGGTTACGCGGAGAACGGTAACGGCAACGGAAGTTGCGAATATCAATACGGTGGCGCCCCCGAGCAGGCTTCCGAAAGGGAGATCGCCCATCCGCATAATGGCGGCAGGGGGGGACCCCCCCGCACCGTTCGTAGTAGTGCCCATAGTAGGACAACTGTTCCTCCGCCACGTTCCGCCTATGCGCAACGGAGGGCGATGTACAATAATGGGTTCCCGCAAATGGATAGCATAAACGGCGATAACCAAGACATGGAGGATCCTTACCAGGCAAGCACCAACGTGGTGGACAATGCGAACAGAGAAGACGATAACCACTGGATGAAGCACACAATGGAAAACTCCTACGAGAGTATAAATTTCCCTCATGGGGAAATCCCACAGATGGGAGGTTCTTATAACTTCCGGCAAAGCAACAACGGTGTGGGATTTCCTCCGACGAGCTCGTTTGTAGCCCCACTGCACAGCAACCGTGCAGTGAGGGGGATGACTCATTGGAAAAAATCGCCGGAAGAAAGATATGCACAACATTGCTCATCAGTTAAGAAGCATGGTGGGAAAAAAAGACAAAAAATGGATTTCTTCTCAAATGTTAGTGAGTTAAAACAAATGGAAACAAATCCGAAGGAGAGAAACAAAACGGATGAAAATGATCATGATGATCGTGATGGAGGTGATGATGATGAGGACGAGGATGGGGATGGAGTTGGCCCCAAAGGAATAAACCTCCAGATGAAAAAAAGTAAAGAAAATGGTAAATTCATTTTTTGCCACTATTGTGATGTAAACATCGAAGCAGAGAAAATGGAGGAACACAAACAAAGTGAGCACATAAAATGCCCCATAGATAACTGCGTGCAAATTTACAGCATTGATGATTTGGATGTGCACCTACTAAACCATATAAAGAATGATAACGATGAAGTGATCCTGAATGACTCCAAAGAAATTGAAAAATGGATCCAGGAGAGAAAAAAAAATTATCCAACGAGAGAAAAAATAGCCATAAATATGAAAAATCATGAAAATGGAAAAAAAAAAAAAAAAAAAAAAACCAAATTGTCTAATTGAGGAATTATTATTTGAGAGCTACTGCTCAGCTGTCGGGCGAAATATATACTTTAAAAATAAGTGGGAGAAATCTATTTTTGTTCCCCTCTTAACAAAGCTGGAACAAAATAACCTGCACAATATGTACAACAACAGTTACTACCCACTTTATAACAACCCCACGGGGCAATATTACCAAACGAATATGCGAAGGAGACCATTTAAACAGAGGCAGCCTATAGACTCCCTCAATATTCACAGAAAGTCTCCCTTGCTATACCAGCTAATGAAAAAGGAAATTTACCTGTACGAGAAAAAGCTGATCAAGTGCATCGAGTTCATCACGCGCAGTGGCTTCTTCGACCACGCCGAAGAAGACGCGGCAGGTGCAGACATCGTCGAAGTGGGGTAGCAAGCAAAGCGCCGCCACGAAGAGGTATTTTTAGGTGAAATGTCACCTGCTTGGAGACGTATGTCCCAATTTGCCTCCACGTCCTAACAAGAATGTATCCCCCCCTGCACATGGGTAAATTTTGCCTTTTTTTTTTTTTTTTTTTTTTTTGTAGCTAAAAATATGCGCGCACATTGTTTGACAACGCTGCGAACCCCTGCGTGCTTCCCCCCCCAAGTGTTTGTTTTATTCTTTCCCCCCCCTTCCACTTGTTCCCTTTTGTGTGCACAAATGAAGTGCCCAATTTGAATTGGAATAAACTATTTGTTTCAACACTGTGTATTATAATACCATGTATAATTTTTGTGTAAAAGGGATTGTTAAAAAATTTTGGTACGGAGGCAGTTCCCTTGTGCCCCCTACAAATTTGCTCACAATGCTCACACATAATGTGTTTAACGACGGGGACGTTTCCACCATTTTGTACAAACGACGGAGATATTGCCTCTATGGCAAAAATGATAATTCTTATTTGCCGCTTTTACGTTCCATATGTGGATTCCTCTACAGCAGCAGCGACTTTTGTCCCCACAACTTTGTCCTACTTTGGAAAAGGAATAAATGGGCATTTCTCTTCACCCTTCTCACACTGTACAAAGTTGAGAGAAATGGGTTTGTTTAATTTTTGCGCAACTGTATTTGACAATGTCCAGCGGGAGAATACGAAAAAGAATAAAAAATAAAGACCACAAAAAAGGAGCGCCTAAATGAACACTTCCTGAGGAATGTCACTCTTGGAAAAAACGGCAGCACATCACACGTAAGTGCAGCTACCCGAAAATGGCAGTTTTCATTGTTACCCTCTTAACATGTTTCTGGCAAAACACAGCAGGGGGCAAAAAAGCAACAATGCTGCAATTATATAAAAAGCTATATGTATGCCTTTACAATAGTACATAAAAAAAAAAAAAGAGTATTTCCTACACCAAACGCGTTCTTCCCCACTATGATGCGTAAGAAGCCCCCAATGGGCTTTGTGACGAAACCACGACTCCGTCAATAGCGAAAAAAAAAAAATAAATAAATCAGCCATAGGAATTGTTTTTTTTTTTTTTTGCCCACATTTGGGAGGATTTACAGCACTTAAAAAAAAAAAAAGGAAAAAAATCTGAAGCTTTTTTTTTTAGCGGACCCGCTTTAACCGCAACATACCATGTGGGAAAAGGCCATTGCAGCGTAGCATCGGAAGAATACCATCCCGGGAGCCGAGAAATTTTCAGCGACCGCGCCAGGGAAAGGCCAATAAGGGCGAGCACATATATATGTATATATATACAAAGCCAAAACGCGTGCACATAGGGCAAAGAAATATTACGTATGTATGTACGTAATGCTATGCATGTATGTATATATAGGCATGCTGAACTTCGTACAATTATAACGAGGAAGTGAAAAAAAAAAAAAAAAAGAAAAAAACGAAGTAGGCATAATATAGTTCCACCTTCAACATTTGTATCACTTCCTTTACCAATAATTAATAGGTAGGAATTTGTGACCCAAATAATAAACCCCCGCCCTCTCGTGCCCACACTTGGGACAGGAACTCCTATGCCCATTAAGGAGGGGGACTGTTTTTTTTTTTGTTACGTTGTTTATTACCCTACGAGAGGGGAAAAAATAGCTGATGTGCTCGAGGTAAAGAAAACGACATAAGCACAGCGTTAACGAGAGGTGACGTCATGATTGAGTTTGTGATTGTTAAAAGGAAGTGAGAGGTAACGACACAGTTTTTTTTTTTGTTTACCGTGGCGAGAAATACATATATGGACCCGTGGTAAAACTTCTTCAAAGGCATGCCACAGAAAAAATGGAAGATAACTCCTACTTTGATGAGGTGGAGAAGTTGTTAGAAAATAAAAGTAAAAACAAGGAGGGAAAAAATGGAGTTGTAAAGAATAGTAGCAGGAGAAAAAAGGAATTAAAGAACAGAGCAACGAATGGAGAGTCGGACAAACCCAGTGACAACGAGAAGGAAGAATATGTGAAAGGTGGTGGAGATGATGAAGGACAACATAATGACGAGTACAGTACGCGAGATGACGAACTCGTTTTGAAAAAAAATTCCCATAAGGCGTTAAATGGAGGAAGGAGGAGCGGTAAAGGAGGGAAAAGTGAGCACCAGGGTGGTAAACATAAGTCCAGAGCGAAGAGGAGGGGAAACCAAGGTGGAGATAGTGAGGAGGATATGACAGGTGGGAGTGATGTTACAAGTGAAAGTGGGAGCGCTCGTGGCAGGCGCAACGATAAAAATAAACAAAACAGAGTGCGAGACGCACCCAGTGATAGCAGTGTTGAAAAACGCAAAACGTATTCATCGGAGGAGTCCAGTAGTGGACACAAAGGAAGAAGGAAGAGACATAAAGATAGGGACAGCCCCGTCAAGTCGCGTAGGGAAGTGTCCCACACCAAGTCTGGCGAGAGTGATGACGAGGGTGATATGGACGAGAAGGAAAGAAGTAAAAAAAAGAGTGCTGTGGAGAGAGGAGCAGGAGGAAGAAGGAGAAAAGGTCACGGAAAGAAGGACCAGAAAAAAAAAAGTGCTCGCCAAAGTGGCTCAGAGAACGAAGCAGAAAGTGATGGAGAGGAGACCAATGGAAAAGAGTCTAACAGTGAAGCGGAGAATAGTGGAGAAGCGAACACTGATGGAACAAACAGCGAGGAGGACAGCGAGAGTGGAAGTGACTCCGGCAGGAGGAAGCGGAGAGACAAAGTGAAAAGTGGTGCCAAGCGAAGTGACAACAGGGGACACAAAAGAAAAGAGAAATCAGATTCAGAGGAGGAGTCAAATGTGTCCACAAATTCCGATCATGGAGAAAGAGGAAGTAAAGTACGAGGAGGGAGAGGAAGAAGAAGCGGAGGAGGAGTTGTGAAGTCGGACCAGGAGGAAGAAGAGAACAGAGAGAATAGCGAAGATGGGGATGATCGGGGGAAGCAAAGGAGGAGACATAGAAGGAGGAGTACTCCCAGTAGTGAACGGGGTTCTGCCACTAAAAGGAAAGGTTCCAATCGTGATGAAAGCAATGATGAGGGTGATGAGGGCGATGAGGGTGGCGACGAATCCGATGCGGAGCGCTCCGGACGGGAGGACGCAAAAAGGAGAAAGGGCAAACACAAGAATGACAGAGAAAGTGAGCGAAAAAGAGCAGAACGAGATGCATCGTCAAGTGGAAGCTCCTCTAGTCAGGAAGAAGACTCTCGAAGGAAGCGGAAAAGGAGAAAAGACAGTCCTAGTATAAGCGACTCGGATTCCAGTGATGGAGAGGAGCGCGACCGCAGGTGTAGAAGTGCCAAAAGGAGGAAACGGGAGAGGCACGAGCTGGAGAAGAGGGAAAGATATCGGGATAGGGAGAGAGAGTATGATAGGGAGAGGGAACGCGCACGGGAACGACTGTGGAAGGAGCGAGAACGAGAAAGAGAAAGACTGAGGAAGGAAAGGGAAGAAGCACGAATCAGGAGGGAAAAGAGAAGAGAAGAACAAAGAAAACAGAAGGAACAGGAGGAAGCTAAGAGAGACGACCTAACTGTGCTGGTACTAAACTTAGACCTAAAGGCCGATGAAAGAGACATATATGAATTTTTCTCAGAGGTGGCTGGAAAGGTAAGAGATATTCAGTGTATAAAAGATCAGAGGTCAGGAAAATCAAAAGGAGTAGCTTATGTAGAATTCTACACCCAAGATTCAGTGATGAAAGCTTTATCGGCTAATGGTTATATGTTAAAAAACAGGCCAATAAAAATACAATCTTCCCAAGCGGAAAAAAATCGAGCCGCGAAAGCAGCAAAACATCAACCTATTGACCCAAATGATATTCCTATAAAATTATATATTGGTGGGTTGTTAGGTCCGCTAGGATACATCTCGGAGCTGGAGTTAAAGCAGCTGTTTAATCCTTTTGGAGAAATTCTTGAAGTAGAAATTCATCGAGATCCTTACACAGGCAAGTGCAAAGGGTTTGGGTTCATCCAGTTCTTTAGAGCATCCGAGGCCATTGAAGCTATGGGGGTTTTAAACGGGATGGAAATAGCAGGCAGAGAATTAAAAGTTAGTTTCGCGCAGGATTCCAAATATATCCTTGCCTCTGAGAAGGAGGCAAAGGAGAAGGTGCTCGCAAAGCTTTTGGCGAAGAAGGCGAAAGCTGAAGAAAAGGTGGAAGAACCCGACAACGAGAAAATTGACAACGATGCTGGTGACGGAGGTGGTCTCATTGCCGGGGCCGGAAGTAAAATTGCCCTCATGCAGAAGTTGCACCGGGACACCATCGCTGACTCAGGGGTAATGAGCGGATAGAGTAGAGAAGCATGGGGAAAAAAAAAGACATTTTTCCGACCCCTCTGCGATTTTATAGCACGTTCATCATATCCTTTTTTGCACTTTTTATGCACCTTTTTTATGCACCATTTTGTTCACTCCGTTTAACACATTTTCCCCTTTCCCCCCTACCCACTTGGCAGATATCGAGCCAGTTCACCACCGCCACCAAAGGCATGATGCAAACGGCAGCGCTGCCTACTGCTCAGCCGAACACTGTAAACAACATCACGCCGAACCTGGTGCTCTGCAACATGTTCTCTCCCAATGACGAAAACATCGGTTCGGACCCAGACTTTTTCACAGACATAATTGAGGACGTTAAGGAGGAGTGCAGCAAGTACGGAAGTATCATCAAAATTTGGTTAGACACAAAAAACATTGACGGGAAGATTTACATCAAGTATGCTAACCACGATGAATCCTTGAAGGCATTTCAGTTTCTTAATGGGAGATACTTTGGAGGTTCCCTGATAAATGCTTATTTTGTGACGGAGGAAATGTGGAACTCGATATGTGGCTAGTTGCGCAACAGAAGCGGCATTGCCCACGTGTGAGCAAACACAACAGTGAATAAGGATATCCCCCACCCCTCAATTGGCAAAAGGATAAAATGCGTAACGCGTGTGTATACCGATGTGCCATTTTTTAAAAAGAGGGGAAATTTTCAACTGTCTCTTTTTTTTTTTTTTTTAAACATAATCCGATGTTAAAGGAGCAGTTGTTTAATTTAATTTTATTTTATTATTATTTTTTTTTTTTTTTTTAGGCCCGTGCCCTCCATTTGAATGTGTGTTATTATCAATGTCGATTTTATGTCAGTCGTCCTTGTGCGCACGACGTTCATCTTGTTTCAAATATGTGCATTCACATTTGTGGGCAAAAAAAAAAAAAAAAATAAAATAATTACTGGAGCGTATGGGGTGTTCTGTAGCTATGCTGTTTTACCTTTTTCCAATTTGTGCAACGCAGTGATGTGTGAGAAAATGAGTATTACAGCCATGTGTTAGTGCCCCTGTTCCATTGTTTCATTTTTGTGTGGCCAGGAAGGTTTGCCTTTTTGTTGGTGACCACTCACGTTTGCATTTGCATTTGTGTACATACACCAGCGCTGCGCAAGGGGGAGACGCGAAAAGGGGACCCCCAATTGCAGCAGTCCCAGCTTCATCATTTGTGTCTATATATATGTGCATATACGAGTAGGCTTCAGAAGGAAAAAGAGCACACGTGACACATAATGAAAGAAGAATGATATGAAAAATGATAAATCTTCAACCAAGGGCAGGACCAACAGTTTATTTTTCACCGCCTCTATTTAATTGACTTTAATTTATCTGCATCCGTTTATACGTGCATTTCGATTTAATTTTTTTTTTTTTTTTTTTTTTTTTTTTTCTTGTCTTACGGGGTTAACTACACATAATTTCATTTTTCACATTTACCATTTAGGGCCGTCAGCAGAACATGCATATCGCGAAAACAACCAAAAAATATAAACTATAAAATAGTAAATAAAATAAACGAACAGAGCTCGGAAATTCATCAATTTGATGTGGTGTATAAATTTATTTTTTTCCTCTCATGAGTAATGCGAGCTCATGTTGACATGCACACGGGGATTAGCCACACCCGTTTGTGTATGTATTTGTGCGCACTTGTCCACCTGTTAGCAGAGGGGCGAGTGCTCATACCATCGAACAGATGGACGAAAAAAACAAGGCTAAGAAAGCGTAGCACGGGTTATCCTTCCTTTTACCCTTAAAGTTGTAAACGGCGCAGAATAAAGTGAAATAAAATAATTCTCTTTGTATACAAATCCCATTTAACCACACACCACATAAGTGTAGCTTTAAAAAAAAATATAAAAAGCTTGTGTTATAAAGGCGCCCGTTTACGATAATTTCACTTTTATGTTGTTCCCGTTAGGTAGTATTTTGCTGAACAATCGTGGACGAGTCCGTTTCGGGAGATGTGGAAAAAAAAAAAAAAGACATTTGACGTGATAGAAACCGATATGATTTTATTTCATCCCATTAAGTGTGCTCTACGGAATGTCCCTCCTTGCAGGACATTTGCTTTTGTCCATTGTTATAGGGGGTCTTCCGCGAGGGGTGACCGCTTCATCGAACACGCACATGTGTGTGCCTATGCATATTCGCGTAACCTGTCCATTTCCCCCTTTTTATAGATTGAGCATCCATGTCACCACCACTTGTATACCATGTGCACTCAGATTAATTTAGCCAGCCGCATGGACCGCGCACAGTGGAAAGCGCATATGCCTTAGGAGGATACACAGGTTTTACTAAGGTGAAATGGTTTCCCCTTTTTCTTTGGCCCCTGGGTTTGTACTTACATTTACGTAGTGTATACATACACATATATATATATATGCATGCCTTTTTCAGGTTTTTCACAGGGCTCATTTGGCGAATGGAAATAAATAAAATAAAGGGGTATTTCTCCTTCCTCACATAAGGTCAACGTTGTTGTCGTATGTGACCAAAGCAGGGGCGCTACATTGGTGTGATAGAAATAGGGGGTGTGCTAAGAAGGTTGTTTCCATTTTTATTAGATCGGTTATGTAACGTTACATGTGTGTTATGTCATTGGAATTTTCGTTCCCCTAAGTAGCGTCGAGCAGTGAGGGGAAGGTTACACTACGACCTCTTCTCCGTCCCGCTGGGCCTTTCCCTAAGCAAATATGCAGTCAACAATGGGTCTTCTTCCCCCTTTGTCTATTTTATTTTATTTTTTTTTTTATTCGCACGAGAGGAACGGTCTAGGAAGGCTTCATCCCCCAGTGCGTCCTTTTTCCGAACCGTAAGGCGTATATGCATTCAACATGGCGCAATGGGGGATGGTTCACGTGGGAACTATTTAAAAAAGGGGAACACAATGAAATATCTCAAATTTTGTTCCTTCGTTACAAATTTGTTTTGCCATGGCACAGGGAAAGACACGTAAAGTAAGAACATTAAATTTGTTAACTACAAGGTATGTGGATTAACGCTTCTTCTATTAATATTCTTTTCCCAAACTGTAAGCCGTGCGTTTTTTGTTTTAATTTCGTGCAACCCGTTAGGGAATGCGGCATTTTTCTTCGCGCAAAAATGTCTTTTAAGGAAAAACGCAATGGGACGGAAGCACATGTACAGGTTAAAATGGAAAAAAAAAAAAAAAAAAAAAAAAAAAAAAAAGTTTCAGCGTTATTCCTTTAACATGTTCTTTAATTAGAAAAAAACGCATCGTCTGTATGAATATATTATTATGTTTTTTTTTTTTGTTCCTGCTTCCCGTGCGGAAAAATTGGCGGAGGCGGCTGATCCCCGTATGCCACATTTATTATTGCCATTTTTAATTTTTCTCCTCACGCGCATTCTTTTTATGCCGTATTAGCCTGCTTTACCTGCCTTGGGCAGTGCGAAACAGGGCGCTATTTTATTTATTTTTTTTTTTTTACTTGTTTTTTTCTCGCCGCGCCCCATGATATTTGAAGCAATACTCGCGCAGTATTTATGATAATAAAAATATTATGTGACGATCATATAATAATATATACAATAGTTTTATGTGTATGATTGTTTGCTTCTATCGGCACCATCGGGGCGGACAGAAATGTTGCAAGCGGCCTAGGAAAGGAGAAAAAAAAAAAAGTACTCAATGATAAAGGAGCGCACGAGCGCATGGTTAAATAATATATAAATAAACAGGCGTCATTGTGAATTCTTTCAGACGATTTTGTGTTGAACAGTGTTTTTCCAGCCAAAGGGTACCCAACCACCACGCGTATACTTACGCATACATATTATGTACTGTGTTATTTACGCCGTCTGTACGGCGCTTTTTTGCGACATATATATTGGCGCCCGTCCCCCGACTGCGCGCATGCGCAACTTTGCTTTGTTGCGAAGGGGAACAGTTCTGTAACGCAAGCGACTCGCAAAATACTATACTTTTGTATGCATAGCTTTACATATGCGCATAGTCCTTTTATGTATTGTTATACCCCCATATGCCCATGTAAGCGTGTTTTGTTGCGTCCTCTCTGGTGCTAACTTTTGCCATGATATAACGGCATTGTCCGCTCTGTTTGCAGGTCTACCAAAATTACTGTTTTTTTCCCCCTCCCGTTATATTTGAGCAGTTGCCTTCTTTTGAATTAACCCGTTTTATGTTGCTGTTGACTGCCCATTTGGGGTCATACAAGGTTAAAAAAAATATTATATATTTTTATATATATAAATAATATATAAATAATAGAGGCCCACAAGAATTTATTCCTCCCCAGTTTACTATTTATAATTTTATTTATATTTTTTTTTTATACCTCTTTATAATATCGTTAATTGTAATTATATATATTCCTCCATTTTTGCGTTCTCGTGCTTTTTTATATGTTGCCGAAAGGGGGATAACACGAATTCGTTCCTTTCTGCAAAGCTACACGTGATAGTATACTTTGCGCTTACGTTTATATGAACAATTGTAAACGTGCGCTTCTGTAGCACGTCCTGTTGCTTGAGAAGTTATTTATTTTTTTGTTTAAGTCAAACCGCTTATCCCCCTCCGCTAACTCGTTCAAAGCATACATTTGCCATCAGAGGCATATTTTTTTCTGCAGGGCGCCTTTTTCCGAGCAGCTATACGACTTGTGAGTTGTACGAAGGAGTAGTGCCCTTGAGCCAGATCTCTTAAGAAGAGCAGATTAGAGCCCACTGTTTTTAAAAGCCGCTATCCTCATCTGCACAAAACCATACAAGGCATTTGTTCCATTTGTAAAAAAAACAACTGTAGCCAACCGCACAGATAAAATAGAAGCCACCGCGACGTCATCATGGGGGCCGAAAACAACTTTGACGGTTTATCCTTCTTCGAGAATAGTGAATTCCCAAACATGAACCGGGATTTTTTAAGGGCATCCATGGACAGCACCAAAAATGAAGAACAAAAGGGGCTCATACAAAAGGCAATAAGTTTATCAAAAAAAGGAGCAGAGAATATACAAAAGGGTATTAAAAAGACGCTCGAAAAAACGAATCTAAATAATGCCCCATCAGTAGTATCCAATTCAACGACTGCAGAAACGGGATCCATGTTTTCAAATTTTCCACTCTTTAATAGTCAAAGTAGAGAAAATGAAACCAACTCCTTCTTTGCCTTCACCAGTGCTTTGTCGTATAAAAATTTCCCGCTTTTCTGTTTATTTTTTGGAGTCAGCATTATGTTTTTTATATTATCATTCTTTACTTTACCCATGATTGTTATCACTCCGAGACAATTTGGCTTCTTCTTTACCCTGGCCTCCATCTGCTTCGTGACCTCGCTGGCCTTGCTGAAGGGCTTTTCGAGTCTCTATTACCATTTGATGGAGAAGGATCGGTAAGGCTTTTAATTAGCAGCCGATTGACGGTGCGCGAAGCGACAAAAGTGCTCATTTGTATTATACCCATGTTCACCTCACCACATACATGTGCCACTTTTTCCCTTTCCCTTAGGCTCCCATTCACCGCGGCGTACATTTTGTCCCTCCTCTCTACTCTTTACTTCACCGTCATTAAGCCCTTATATTTATTGGTATGTTGAAAGAAGACCCGTTGTTTTTTTTTTTTTTTAGCACCCCATGTGAAACAAAAAGGGGGGCACCTCTGTGTGAGCAAGTGTCCACACCGTAACATTACATGCGTATTCCTACCTCATTGCTCATATCACCTCCATTTTCCAATTTTTTACAGGCCTTGATTACATCCGTTGTGCAAGTATTCGCCCTCATTTCTTTTATAGTGTCGTACATACCAGGTATGGAGAAGCGAGAAGGGTTGTAGCTAGCTTGTCTGCTCCATCCGAAGTGACACGCCATGTGGTGCTCATCCCGAATGAGAAGCAGCATTTTTTTTGTCCGCTTTCACCATTTTCACCATGTAAAGATGCCACTTATTTTGTTTTTTTTTCATTCTATCCCATTCTTTCTGTGCAGGCGGTGCAGGAGCAATTAAAATGCTTCTAACGACTTTGTTCACGTATATCAAGAACTTGTTTCGAAGAGGCAATTCATCAGATTTACCTTTTTAATTTAATTTTATATATATTTTTTTTTCCCCCCCCCATTGGAATTAATTTCATCGTGTAAGCAATTATTCTCCTCTTTTTTTTTTTTAACATCCCATGGCCATTTGGTGCTAGCAAGTTTTTAAATTGGACCTCCGTGGATGTGCCCACAGAGGACAAAGTTGAAAGGGGTCATTGCCAATGGTGTGTAGATATAACGTAAAGGAAATGAAGAGCAGTTGGAAAAAAAAAAAAAAAAACGTGAGATAGAGTCACGAAGAGGACGCCATGTCAATAAGTTTAAAGCCCCAATTTGTGAATCGAATTATTTCTCCGTCAGAAGAGCATCGTGTCTACTTTACAACCATGATAAAGCACGAAGAAGGGGTCCATGCTGTAGCAAATTTTTTTTTTTTTTAAGTTTAACTGATGTGCCAAAAGTGGGATGTGCTTTTCGCGCAAGCACGAACACAGCAAAAATTTACGAGAAAATTAAAAGGCGCCCCCGCTTGTGTGTTTGCGTGCATATATGTCACACTGTAGACGTAATCCATTCCGTGTGCTACATTTGGGTGTGCTAACATACCTTACAATTTGTGTGCACACCCGTTCATTCTTTTCCCTTTCATGTTCACCCGTATAATTCCATTGCACGTGTTTCCCCTGTATTTTATTTTATTCTTTTTTTTTTTGGTGATCAATTATTCATAATTTAAATTTAAAAAACTATACAATCTAAAGTTTTAAAAAAAAAAAAATTATGATCCTGCAAAAAATGGCTGTATTGTGGAATGGACTACTTTCGTCGGCGGGGTAGCCATTGATATAATAGCATCCCCATTTTTCTTCTGTGCCCAGTTTCATTCCACGCGAGGAGTATAAATGTGAGGCTAAAGTTGGCATGCGAGCACATCGTTTAACCACCATGGATAAAAAAACCCAGTGAATGGTGCTGCCCTTCCTTTTTGCCGTGCGCAGATACACGTTTCTAAAAATGGCAGAAAAAGAAAAAAAAATTTAAATCGTTCAATTATTTACGCAACAAACAGTAAAGGAAAAACTTTTAAAAATTAGTAATTACTTCTTTTGAAGAAAAAGGGGAAAGAGACAGGAGAGGCGGATGAAATGATATCGATGGAGGAAACGAAAAAGAAAAAGAAAAAAAAAAAAAAAAAATTAATCAATAATTTGCATGAATACGACACTATAATGCATCTTTAATAAAGAGGGGAAAAAAAAAAAAAAAAGAACCAAAAAAGAAGCAAAAAAAAATAATAAGATATGGGTACTTCGAAACGGAGGTAGAAACGTAGCAGCAATATTATGTGTATGTTTTAACTCAGAATGATCTCTGAAAAAAACGTTTGCTACTTTTTTTTTTTTTTTTTTTTTTTTGTCCATGGATAAACGTTGTCTAATTCGCCCACGGACAACGTCCTCCAATTCGCCCAAGGGTTGCGTGGCCATCATCAAACACCCCTCCGTTTGGGGCTTCCTCCAGCTTGTCTCCACTAGGGGTGCCATTTTGAACGTAAATATTGTAGCGTAACCCGCACGGGGGGAGAAGGGACTTTCTCGAAAACAGATCTGGGTTATAAAATTCTCCCCCCAAAGGTACATTCCGTTATGTCTTTTTTTTTTTTTCCGTATCCCACAGCTTCTCCCTTTCATGCACATGCGCCTGGGAGGTTGTCCAAGCCACTGCATCGAATGAGGTCCTTGTTGCAGCTGTCGGTAGCGCACTGGTAGCATCTGTCCGCACAGGGGTTGCCGAATAGGCAGGGGAGCCAGCAGTTGGACTTACCACAATCAACAGATTCTTTAAAGCAAGTAGAACAAGTATCAGAAAGTTTTAAGTTTCGTTTGGCTAGCTGTTCTTGAACGCACATCATGGTTTTCTCCCCTGACCCTAGGTTATCAACAGAGCACTGTAAAAGGCTGCTAAAGAATTTATTGCTTGGGGTAAGTTGCAATCCTTTCCCATGTCCAACACCCTCTGGTTTCGTATCATCAAAAATGATTTGTTTGTCCATGTCAGATTGGCATCCATTAGTTATATTTGACACATCAGATCCTTGTACTTGTAATTGGCATCCATTCAAATGCTTGGTTATATTTCTAATTAAAAAATTAATTGTTTCTAATTTTAAATCATTTAATAAATCTGAACCAAAAATCAAATGAGGTATTCCTATAATGATAAAAGACTTGTTGTCATCACATAAGCTTTCTGATTTTCCATTTTTAATAATATTTGAAATTCTATGTAGTAGGTTCCTTGGGTTTATTTCATTATATCTTCCACTTAGTAATTCGTTAATGTGTTGACTAATAATATTTCTGTTTTTCTTGGGTGCATGTGCAAGGATGATGTTGACGGAGTCCTTCAGCATGCTATCATGTTTTATTCCTCCTAACCAACTGTTTTGAAAGCTATTTAATAAATCCTTCCTCCATCCTCGATGCCAGTTCTCTTCAATTCCTTTGAGGAAGTCCTTTTCTCGTTCTCCTAATATGTTATTAAACCAATTATGTGCCGTTACTCCTTCGGCGTTGGAAAACAGGATTGGTGAGAACCCCAATTTATTTTTCATCTCCTTTGTCAGTAGCGTCACTGCTACGACGCACGTGCGAATGAGGATATTTTTTAGAATTGCCATTGGTTTATGTTGCTACTCGGGTCAAGCACCGTGTGGGCTTTTTATATAAAAGGCGCAAAGGGGTTACGTGTAAAGGGGAATTTTACGCGTCGGCAAAAATGTACATATATAAAGCATATGTATGTGTTCACATGTGTATACACCCATATATGTGCGCGATGATAGGTGCATACATCTGCCGCAACGACTGGGGTGTGCCCTTCGAGAAGTCGAAAAAGGGGCCCCCTTCGGTCGGTTAAGCGGTGAAGCGGTTAAGAGGCTGGATGGCTAGGCAGCCTCAACAGAGCGAATTCGACAGGTGCGACTTTTACAAATTGGTCGCTCGAATTGCGCCGCCTCGATTTATGCTGCCACGAATTTGCCAGCGCAGGTCGCCAAAAAACAAACAACTTCCGGTTGCGGCGACGAAAAAATTGCTACGCGCACGCAGTGGAAGTACAATGGACGCAGGGGGACACACACGCCTTCCCAAAGTACACATAAACGGACGAGAATATTCACGTATATAAATTTATTTGTATCTTCGCATCAACGCGCCATACGCATAATTATATAAAAACTCCTTTAACTTGCTTCTTGTTGTTGAGGACTGACATACGCAAGCAATCGACGGGTGGAGAAAAGAAAATAAAACAAAAAAAAAAAAAATGCAAAGTGTTTTAAGATATATTTTCGCGAATTTTCTAATCGAAAAAATAAACATAAGTTGAACAAAATTCTCCTGGCTAGTTGATTATAATTCGGGTATCCCGAAGGGGGGAAAAAAAAAAAAAATAAAAAAGAAAACGAAAAGAAAAGAAACAAAACGGAATGGGTGACGAATTAAGGCAAATGAGCGACGAATAATGAACTTCTGGCGAACCAAAAGGGCACTTAAAAAAAAAAAAAAAGGAAGCAAAACGGTAAACGCAAATGCAATTAAAGTACTCGCCCGCGGCAGGCCAACTGACCAACCCGTTTTTTATTCCGCGCAGACGCTTGCTGCGCTATCGGGTATCGGGGTCAAGTTTACGAAGGGACGAGCAGGAGGAGCTTTACAAAACGCGTAACTAGGTAGATAAAAAAAATATATCCGATGAAACGAGGCAACCAAATAGAAAAAAAACGTTCAGTGGGTTATGATGCTAATAATCACGGTGATAATAAAACTGTGGAAGAAAAAAAATTTCTACTTAAAAAGCACACATGCACGACTTCTCCCTTTGTTCTTATTCGCAATAATTATCCAAAAAAAAAAAAACAAAAAAGGGAAAGCCTCGCAAGAAGCACATTTCGCTCGTTACCATATATATATATATAATATATATTTTTTTCAACTTCTTCCTCGTATATAAAACTAGTTCATTCCTACGTGCATCTGCTCCCAATGCTACAAACATGAGCAGTTGAGGAAAAACCCATTTTGAATTTTTTTTTTTTTTTTACCTATTGTGATTTGGAAATGTAAAGATTGTATGTACAGTTGAGTAAGCCCATTTATTACCTTCTTTCTTGATCTTTCCAAAAAAAAAAAAAAAAAAAAAAAAAACGCAGCAATGTTTTGCTTTCCCCTGAGTTATTAAAACAAATATTTATTAACTATGGCTGCTATTTTTTGTATGTCTACAATTCGATTGGGATTCGAAAAGGAGGGCTCGCATGCAGAATAGAAAAATAAATAGTAATAGTTTTAAAGCAGCTTTCTCAAAAGTTATTTTGGTGCCCATTTTGAAAGCCTTCTTAAACGTAGGTGTAAATTTGTTGGTGTAAAAATGGCTATAAACAACACCGCAAGGAAGAAATATATATGTATATTCCATATTGAGGAAATTTCGTTGTCCACGCATTCGGAGGTGTTTCAGGCTTTATGGATTAAAGTTTATTGGTGTAAAAAAATACGGCACACACCCGATTGATAAAACATTTTTCATGTAGTAGATCTCTGATCCATACGGATGTTATAATCCCCACAATTTTTATGTCATCAATATGCTTATTATTATGGGATGGCACATGATGGAGCATTTTCCTCCTCCATGGTGTCATTACGCCTTTTTCCTTTTTTTATCATTTGGTGAGCACCTTACCACGTGGGTTACTAAATGTCTCGTATAAAGCAACGAGAAGTGAAATGTTTTTTTTTTTTTAAACTAATGTGTAACGGAAGTTATTTGGCATATATATGTGAATGAAACGCACACCTTATCGATGCACATTTTTGAAAATATACCTCTTCGCACATATCAGGGTTTAGGGTTACACATTTGAATACAATTTCTACATAAGCTGTACGGACATCACAATGGTGCGTATATTTTTTTATCCTGTTAAGAGTTATGAGAAAATGACTCGCATTACCTAAATAGCGATTCTTCTTTGTAGCGCATGTGCGAACCAGTTGTGTGCCCCTCAGGTATCGTGGGCATTTGCGTTACGCATTTATCTGCTCGGCATTGGTGTGTGTGTATCTCTCTTCCTGTGATAGACCCATTCAAATAGGACGGCGCACATGTGCCACGTTATGCATTGTAAAAAAGGGGGTTCCCCAAATTTCAACTCGCCTTTGTCTTTTTCATGGCTTGGCTGACCATAGAGTGGTAAAGCTGTTCAGGGAAATTTACCCCACTTGGGTAAAATTATATATTTTTTTTTATGATTATCATTTTCCTCTAAAATGAGATTTGCTAATCACGTTTGGAGCCCCCCGGTTGGTCATTCTTCCTTTTAGCTGCATTAAATATAAATAGCACACGCACATGCATACACCTATGTAATACAGTTGGCACAGGCTCATCTGTCACATGCTCACCCATGTAGGGGAAACCAAAAAAAAAAAAAAAAAAAAAAAAAAAAAAAAAAACACCCAGCAATTTATTGTCACGCAAACAATGCAACATAATAATAAGATTATGTTCCCGTGTGGCTCACTATTTTGGGAAGCGAAAGAAAATTCTCCCTTTGCTCGTAGCTTCATATTTACATAAGCCCAGCGTTTTTTTTCTCTGATGAGCAAATGTGCACATGTGCATATGAACGATGTAAAAGAGGATACTTTATTTTATTTTTTTTTCTTTAAGGAGGCCCATCGTGACTTAATTATATTTTACATCGTTTGGGCAGGTCATCTCATTTATTTTAACCACTCGCATAATTTAGCTGCTCCTGTCCTGCTTTTTTTTTTTTTTTTTTTTTTTTTTTTTTTTTTTTGTATCATGGGCTTGCTTCCCCTTTTAGTTTTCACCCTGCAAGAGAATTCAAAATGAGCTAATAAGCAACTTGCAGAAAGTAGCTCTTCCAAAAGAGAAACCCTCAGTGCGTCTCCAACTTAGTGGTATATATTTTTTTCCCTCCCGTGGCCAACATCACTCGGTAAGATACCAAGTAGAGTATTGACCAGCTTTAAGATTAGGAAGAACGCACACTGTAGGGCGCTGCTGTATTATAACAGGCAGGACATCTATATGTCGCACACGTTCAGTGGTGCTACGCAACTTTTTTTTTTTGTTTTCACCTCCCCCCTGGCGATGAAAGGAGCGCTACATTTTGCACAACCATTTGCGTATGAAGCTAGATAGTGAGGAAGTAACTCATCCGATGCACACAACGTTGCTCGCACAAGGAAAAGAAGTCAAATGAAGAAGTCGCAGTAGCAGATGTGTTTGGACATTTTTAACTGTGAAACAGATTACGTGACCAGTTTGTTTGTGTAGAAGGAAGAGACGGGAGGTAGAAGAAAAGGCACACCAGTAGGAGCAGTCATATGTATACTGATGTGAACACTTTTTTTTTTTTTTATAACGTAGCTCCTCCGCTGAAGACAGCCTAGCGCAGACGTCCGTAGAGGTGAACCCGTCCGGCGCTGTTTTTTTCCACATGGACGCTTGGCAACGAGACGACGCGTCTGTCTGGCTTTTTTCTCAACCTGAGCAACTTTTCCCACTCGCTTGACACAAAAAAACCGCTTTCCAGAAAATGAAAAATGGAAGAGGCGTTTCCAACAAGCCGTTTCGATTACTAGCGCTGGTGTGCGCGATGATAATGTGCTTAGGGATGAGCGCAAGTGCGAAGGAGACCATCGATGGAAATCACCTGTACAAGTCTGTCGTCATTGACGCAGGGTCCACGGGAACAAGGGTCCACATATACAACTACAAAATTGTGTATGAAAAAAAAGGAATCAATATACACATTCCATCGATCAGTTACAGAACGACCCCAGGGGTTGTGTACCTCCTAAATAATTACTTTGCAAATGATGAGAAAATAGCTTTTCATGAGTATTTTAAAAATATAAAAGAATTTTTGTATGAACATGTTAAGGTAAATGAAAGATCCAGCACACCCATTATGATTCGCGCATCCGGAGGATTCAGACTGCTTAGCATAACTGAGTCAGAAAATTACATAAATTTTGTAAAGCAATATTTTTTAAATAACTTTAGCGATTTTTTACTAATTGATGAGTTGCTGATCAAGGTGCTAAGTGGGAAGGAAGAAGCCATTTTGTCCTTTGTCTCGATTTACGCCCTTCTGGAGAAGTTCAACCCTAGTCCTGTAACTTTCACCAATTTGGACAAGGCGAGTGGCTCTACCACGTCAGAGGTGCTCACGGGAAAGGACTCTCAAGAGGAGAAATTGAGCAAAGAGTCAAATGGGAAGACTTCGAACAACGGGGAGAACGACATTATAGGGGTCCTGGAGCTAGGTGGGGCCACTGCCCAGGTGGTAATTAAATTTCCCTTGTCCAAAATGAATGAAGACATTAAAAATTTATTTAATTATAAACATCGAGAAGAGAAAGTGAAGAAAAGTGTGATAGAAGAAAATTATAAAAATAAAAACGTGGTAAAAATTCACCTGTTCGATGAAGATATTTATCTTTATTGTAAAAGTTACCTCGTGCTGGGAAGGCAGAATGCCATGAAGACCTACTTGCATTATATTATTCATCAACATAACAGGGAGGAGCAGGTGGATGACCAGGGCTTTACCGGAGGGGAGAAGAATGCCCCAGCTGGTGTGGATGTAAAGAAGGATACGCGTGATAAGAATAAATTCATTCCAGCTGCATGCTTCCCAAAGGACTTCAAGTTTTATGTCAATAATTTATACGAGACTTCCATTGAGGAGGAGATGCACGAGTATGACGGGAAGACGGAGATGAGTGAACACGACTACGTCGCCGTGGGTACCGGGAACATCGACTTGTGTAGGTTGCAAGTACAGTCCATCCTGAACTACGCCCAGATCGACGACCTTCCATTTAAGATGAAGAGGTTCATAAAGCTCTACGGTATTGAGAACTTCCACCACTTTGCCATGGTAAGTTTGGGGGGAATGTTTCCCCCGGCGGGTTGGTCCTCCACACATCCATGTTGCGTCCACGTTCAACTTGCTCCCTCCCCCCCCCTTGTAGGACATTCTGAATCTCCCAGAAAGCTTCAACCCCATTTCACTAAACTCAAATATGTACTTGGAAAAGGCGAAGGAAATATGCCCTCTGACAATTGACGAAATTGTGAAGGTGGTGCGGCCTGAGGCAAACATCGAGAAGGCGCAGACGTCCTGTTTCGGGTGAGCATTTCAAGTGGCCGCTTCGTCTTCAGGCCTTTCCCCTCGGGAACGCTTTTGCCTTTTCACATGCTACACCACTCGAACTCTTCCTTTTCCTTGCCTCTTCCTTTTTATTTTATTACTTTATATTTTATTATTATCATTTTATTTTCCTTTTTCGCGCCCCCCACTAGCCTGATATTCTTGTACGAGTTCATGCGGTATATCCTGAAGATTGACGAGCCCATAGCGTTCCAATCAACCAACTATGTAAGTGTGTGGACGGACTCAGCGTCCATAGGGGTGTCTTCCTGTGGATAACAGCACAGATAAGGCACAACGATGCACAAATTTGTGCCAATCGCGTGCAAACACATGACGGTGATGCGTGCGCCCAGGAGTCAGCACACTTCCCTTCCCCTCCCCTTCATGGCCTCCCTGCAGATAAACAAAATCAGCATCACCTGGACAGTGGCCGTTCTGCTAATGGAGCTCCCGCCCCACTTGAACACAATTAAAAAGCAGACACAGGAACCCTATCTCAACGATGAACTTTAAATGGGAAAAAGGCCTATCCCTCTTACGTGACCAATTCGTAAAAGAGCGGTACGCATGTTGTGTCCCTTCTCTACATCTACTCCCCCTTTGTTTTTGTCATATGGGATGAAGAAATGAAGAGTCGTAGTGTACACCGATAAAAAAAAAAAGGTGTAAAAAAAAAAGAAGCAGCAAGGTACAGAAAAGTATGAAATAAATCAAGTGAATGACTGCCAATTGGGTCCTGTTTAAAATCTGGATATGAAAATTGTTGTATTTGAGATGGCGCATCACGCAGTAGTTGTTTGTGACCAAAAAAGGGAAGGCATGTTTGCACATGAAAGGGTGAGGGCGGCGGTGCATACTCCTGGATGGTCCTCCACTTCGAACATTTTTCATGCCAACCGCGAGGTATGCCGTTTTTTCTAAGAGGGAATTTTTAAATTGGAACTAAATAGATAGGCCCATTTTGAAGCTATGAAATGTTGTGAAGGTAGGGATAGTCTCCCAGGAGAGTCCCCACGTTGATGTGAACTCTGTTAATTGTACGCTGTTTGTCCACGTCCTGTGTTGCATGCGTCTTACCAATTTATGCGGCGCACTGCTTCAAGTAGTAGGTGGCACCCAGTTTGCTTCGTTTTTTTTCCCTGTTTTCCCCATGAACAGTCCTGTGTACAGCTCCTTTTTACAATGAGCACAATTGCACCTGCGCGTTTGTGGCATGGCGGTCGATATTGCGGCCCACCGTTGGGACAAACGGGGCGAAAGAAGCACACACAAAAAGCAGTTAACAGGGAAGCGTGAACTGCTGAGAGGGGGAAAAAAGATTGTCCCCGTTATAACTTATACTGTACACATGCCCATAATTGTGCCAAGCACATTATGTTACATTCTTTTCACTCTACTTTTTAGGGTATGCTTGAAAATGTTTCATGTTAAAAAAAACCCCAAAGTTGCGTTTGTGTTGCTACGATTTTGAAGTACATGGGCTAGCCGCCTCGTCTTTTTGGTTATTGTCGTCATTTTTTTTTTTTTTTTTCTCATTTGGGTGATTTTCTCGTTTTCACCGCTTCAACTTTTTTTTTAGCAGTTCACCATTTTTTCCAATTGACAAAACGTGCTCAAAACTCGTCATTTATCATGCGAAGATGTAACAATTTTGAAGGGGAAAGTCCACCTTGAGGCAGAACACTTTGCTTCGCATATAAACAACTGCCTTGGTGGAATGTGACCGATGGAGGAGGAGCGTGCCCTACATGAGTACATAAGACTGGGCGCTGCATGATGGAAGGAGCGTCGAAATGACATGATTAGAAATTCGTGGACATTTTTTTTGTGTGAGGAAATTTCTCCTTCTGGGAACTGATGATATTATGGCCCCCTTTGGTACAACGGTTGAAACTTATTTTGTACGTGAGCGAGCTCTTTTTTTCTATCTCGAAAAAGTGGGCGGTAGACACATTGTATATTAAAAAAATGTCTCTTATTGAGCTTTGGACATGACCTCGTTATTCACCCACTGGAAAAAGAGTGCAAACCGTGTCCAATTTTTCGCGGGGTTGCCTCCAATTCACGGCGGTGTCAAACGTGCATGTAACCATGTTATGTCTAACATGGGGGCGAGGAGTTGTTTCTCAGCAATTTACATAAGCAGAAAATGAGACACCCCTCCAATTGGCACACAACACAGATGTATTTTCCGCTCGTCAAATTTTTTCTTCCTATTCATTTAGACACCTTTCAAGGTGGGAGCCACCCTATGTTGGTTACTCTAATATACAAAAAAAAAAAAGTTAATTTTCACCCCCGCAGGGAAGGGAATGGAAGTAGAGACCCCTCGTCCCACTTGCAAAAACCTTCTGGTTAACTTTTTTCAGGTTGCCATTATTTTACATATATATGGCAAGGATTGGTGGGAAGTAATTTCAGTTCGTTAAAAACAAATTAAAAAATGGAGGAAACAAAAAAAAGAAGTTGAACTGGAACGAGACTAAAGCATAGAGTTGAGGCTGAAACCCAAATTAAAAAAACAGGTTGAATTAATCTGTTTCATTTGAACAAATGGGACTAATTTTATCCTTTTTCCTGTCATTCTCTTGAATTCGTTTCGATTTGTTAATATCTTTGTCTGTCCAGTTATTTATTGCTTTTTTGTTTTTTTCCATTTTTTTCCTTTCCTGTGACCACCCGTCCGGATTTCCTCTTCTGAACAATTCAGGCAAAAAAAAAAAAAAACATAAGCACATGGGGTTTTCTTTTTTTTCCCATTTTTTTTTCAAAATTGATCCACCAAAATATGGGACCTATATTGTACAATTGTCATGAGTAAAGCGCAAGTGCGAACAGTCGTCCCTGAATTTTCATTTACCATGGGTACTGTTACATAAATATTATATACATGTAAATATGGCCTACATGAATATTATATAAATATATATATTTTTTAGAGCTTTTCTGCCCACCCCTGAACTGCTTACATTGCGCGTAAATTTTTTTCGTTTCCTCAGGGGCGTTGCCTTGGACGCGTATATATATATTAATGCATGTTAGGTCCGTGCAATGCTGGGGAGGCACTGTAAGAGGCCGGGGAATTGCCTCGGCCTAGGCACCCCACATACCGACGCTAGTACCGACCCAGTGATTTTTATGCGTGACAATAAAATGCGCCACGTATATATAATAAAGAGAACGTAAAATAAATAAAATAAACATGTATAACATATTTTATACAACATTTTGTATTATACATAATATACGAATAAAATGCGTGTCATACCAAAATGAGGGCATATGTTTGTTTTTCCTAGTGATGGTATATATAATATGGCCTTTTGCTAGGGCTTGGGGGCGGAACTTGGATAACTGCTGTGGGTTTTTTTTTTTTTTTCTCTTGATTTATGCTGACCGTTCGTTGACTTATTTTTTTTTTTCTTCAGCAGCTTCTCCTGTCCCCCCACAAGAAAAAAAAAAAAAAAAAAAATTGAAATATCATTTGAGATCATTGTTCAAATTGTTGTTAATTTTTTTTTTTTTTTTGAATAATTTTTGAAATGTTTCAAATTTCCACTCTTTTGTCAGAACAGCCTATTTCTAAATGTGGTTTTTTTTTTATTTGTAAAAACCACATATGGGCTTTTTGAAAAAAAAAAAATATGCATGTATGTACTTGTATACGTTTGTGTGCCCATATCGTTATGGAGAGAAATCCGGGTAGATAGCAGAAGGCAGTGGAACGGGAGGAAAGGAAAGCTTGCTCATGTCAGGGAGGTGCTTTTTTAAATCCTTTCTGGCAGGCACCATCCCAACTCTCTCTGTCCATCCCCGGTCCTCTGTTAAAAGCATATGCTATAGCACATTAGTAGTGGCATTCATCATTACCCATGGCACTGTAAAGGAGTAACATGGCCAATGTGTGGCTCCCTATGTTTTTATTGTTTTTGTTCCCATGCACGTATTATTTTTTTTTTTTTTAGAGTTGCAACCAGGGTGGGGGGAAAATAAATTTGTTCCCTTCCGTTGGACAGTGAGGGGAAAGACTCGTGTGTAGATCCCGGTTGCAGCTACGTGAATATATTTTTAACTGGGCCAAGTCCTGATTATTTGAGTCTGTCCATTTGGCATGTGTCATTTGGACAATTTCATTTTTCGTTTTCAATTTTGCATGGGCATTTTTGCCTAAAACAGTTTGTCTTTTTATCCTTCCCCACTTTTTCCCGTGTAAGAGTAAATGTGTTTTGCTGCACCTCCTCTCTCCCTAACACCCTACCCAAAAAGGAAGGAAAAAAAAAAAAAAAAAACAAGGAAAGAAGAACCCCAGAAAGTAGTAAAATTAGCCTGTCGAGCAAAGAAGGCTCAAATACATATAAAGGAAAATCGAAAAGTAGACAGCTTTTATATCCTTTGAAAAATCGTGCACAAAGTAATCACTCTAAGGATGTATATATGCCCTTCAGCATGGTGGGTGAAGAATATGAAAAGAAGGATCCATCTCAAGATGATGCATTGGGGGGAGGTAATGGTCAATATGTAAGAGGAACAAGTGCAGACAGTAACTGCGTCGGCGGTGTGAATAATTATATGTATAGGAAGATGAGGGAAGAGAGGAACCACAGTGGTAGTCACCACCGTGAGGAGGAATATAACCATAATGACGAGAATGAAAATGAAGAGGAAAAAATGGGAGACGATGAGGATATGATGATAGGTGATGAGGGAACTTCCTACAAACGGAATAAAGCATCCCTATCCTGCTACGAAAATAATAATAGGAAAACGCTCTACAGACACAACGTATTAAATGAGGAGCAAAAAAATATCGAGTTGCTACTTACTAGACAGAAAAATGTAGAGCATCTTGAATCCATAAATTTTGACGACATGATGAAAAACAACCTCTTTAGTTCCTTCCACGATAGCTACAACCATGGTGATGGAGGGGCATGTGATGATAATGTGCATGGGAGTGGTGGTGATATGAACAGGGGAAACAAACTTAGAGTGAGTAAGCGAGTGGCGAAGCAGGGGGACTCCAAAAGGAATAACTGCACTCCGGACGAGCTGGACATAGCCAACCTCGCAGATATGCTATACAAGATGAAGAAGGAGGAGTACCGAATGCAGCCCGAGGACGAGGAGGCAAACTATGAGTTGTCTCGGGCCCGGGAGTATGACGTGTCATATGACATGTCCTATGATGGGCGGTATGATAGGCCTTATGACAGGCGTTATGGTGGGCCATACGATGCCTACTTCGATCGGCACCGCAGTAGACGCGTGGACGGACCCCATTTTAGGGCATACGATGAATATTATGACGGTCGCATGGATTTCCAAGTGGGTCTTCCAGTTGACCGCCACGTCGACGAGCGATGCGCGCAACGTTTCGAGGAGCACTACGATGAGGAGATGATGGACGTGCGGGAACAGAACTACCGAAGAAGGCGAGCCATGGAAGACTTCCGTGAGTATAGAAAAAGGAGGCAGGATGCTGTGGACACGTATGATGATCGACGTTCACACATGATGCTAGGCGAAGGCAGTAGAAGGGCAGCAGACATGATTCTATACAAAGGCCGTTTCAGAAATGGAAGCGAGAGGTCAAGGGAAAAACAGCACCTTCAAAATCAACATCTACTACATAAGCAGCTGAATCAACAGCTGAGTAAGCAGTTGAACCAGCAACTGAGTCAGAAGCTGAATCAGCAGCACATGTATTCAAACATCGCCGACATATGCAAAAGTTATATAAAAAATATTAGTAGCATTAACAAGGGCACATATAACGGTGAATCCAAGGAACCTATTTTTCGGTACCCCGGCGGAGGTGCCAGGCAGTATGATGAGCCGTACAGTAGTGGGGACCACTACAGCTGTGCGGACAGTTACAAGTTTGGCATGGTTAGGATGGCGAATAGGGGAGGAGGCCCTGGTGGAAATGGGCCCAGTTTGAACACCCCAAGTTACAGGGTCACAAATGGCAAAGCGGTGAATAATCAGGATTTGGCTGGCCACTTTCTCAGCAAAAGGAGGGTAAGCAGCTGGGAGAGGAATATTAGGGAAGCGAGCGGCAAACCTGGTACAGATAAGCAGGTTGACGATGACCATATGAAGGACATCCAGCCCAGCTCCATCCCCTCGAGTGGCCACCCGGCGAGTAGAAACCAAGAACAGGGTGCCCAGCAAAAGTCCATGCGGAATGTCCATTTTTATGAAATCGACCCAAAACAGCCGAACCCAAAGTGCAGCAGAAACGATTATCGAACTAGCGAAAGAAATATAATGCAAACAAACAATGTGGATCGAAGGAATGTGGACCCACTGCTCTTAACCTACATAGATGAGGGGGAAAATAACCTGGAGCAGAAAAAAAGGAAGAACAAAAATAAACAGAGTAATGCTAACAACGCAAGTGATGTCCAGATGGAAATAATTATCCCTGATAACTACGATGGGAAAAGTGCCAAGGTGGGAGGAGGGAATTCCTTTCTGCGGATGAAAAACACATCTCATGAGAAGGCCCCCACGTCTAGCCTATCCAATGGTGTGAACAATAACGCCATCGCCATTTCTATCGGTAATGATACTAGCAGTGGATATGGTAGAGGTAATGGTAAAGGCACTGGCAACCGCAGTAGCAGCCGCGGAAGCAGCCGAAGAGGCAACAGCAACAGTAATAAAAATGTTCGTATGGATCTGAGCGACCAAGCGACGCCTCGTCACCATGCCGGACACGCAGGGGGGAAAGAAATTCCTATGGAAATCATAAAGTACTGCAAGGAAAACAACCTTATCCTGAATAAGGACATAAAGGATTTGTTAAAGTACTACAGCGAGGCACCTCAGAGTGGGGGATTACTGAACGATTGCACCAAGAAGAGGGTGAACCCCTATATGCTACTGGAGCAAGCGAGCAGCGAGATGAGTACAAACAACGCTTTGAATAATACCCATATTGGAAGGCGAGGAATGTTCAATAACCTCTGCACCAATCATGCGGGTAGTATCCCCATCAGGAGTGAAAACAAAGCAACCGCAAGCGTTAAAGGTAATAAGCATACAAAGAGCAATGCAAATACGCTTCAAAGAAATTGTGGACCACAACTGGGCAAGTATAAAAGTAAAATTCAGACTAATCTGTACCTAGTCGACAGTAGTACTAGTAGTAGTAATGGTAATGATAAGACGGGCATTGGTGTTGCTTCAATGGAGAGGAATGATTCTTCACCTCAGAGCTTCATCTCTTTGACCAATGATGAGGGGGATGTAGGGCCCAACGGTAGTAGTAACGCTGCGGACATACGCAATAGTAATGCCAATTTGAGGGTCAGCAGGAAGGGAAGTAAGAAGCACAGCGAGGCGAGTTGCGCGGCCGTGAATCGTGGTCCTAGGAATGGAGCTAGTCTAGTCAGGGGAGCGACACCGAACAATTTGAAGAAAGCTTTCCTGATGCAGGAGAAGGGTGCAAGTAGCAACGCGAAGAAGTTGAGAATCCCCCACAGCTTCAACATCAGTGGCGGTAACAAGGGCTACAGCCGCACCCGCTACAACCTCGAAGTGGCGGGCATGCCGATGAAGGAAGAGGACCTCATGACGCTGATGAACGACTACTACGAGGACGTGCTGAAATGTTACGAGCAGTATAGTCGAGGCGGTTTGGATGACGAGAAGACCTTCCACTTGTGCGATTACTGTGAGCAAAACATTTTTAATTTAAATAACTTGGTAACCGCAAGTCAAGCCAAAGAACATCTGTACACATGCAACATATCATGTGGGAGGACGTTCCACATGAAGTGCGTGAGTCACTTCAAACCAAGGGGAAACAATTTTATATGCTTCTTCTGTTTGTACGACATAAACTTCTGTTCCTTGTGCAAAGAGTTTGCAACCAATGATGGACTCATCCCTTGTTACTACCCACTGTGTAGTGTATTTCTACACAGCCAGTGCGTTGAAAAGCTGCAACTGATGCATACAGATTGCTTGAAGCAGTACTACTATTGTACACATTTGGTTGAACCCAAGTCGAGAAGTAATAGGAACGAGGGGGCAGGGTGTCATTTGGAGGACGGAACGAAGAAGGAATCCACAGGGGGAAAGAAAACAAAGAAGAAGCGAAATTACTGCAGAAAAAAGAAGCGGTGTGGAAAGAAAAAATACGCCACGTTAAATAAAAAAATTGACAAGAATGAGAAGAGTGAGAAAGCAAGTGAAGTAAACCAGGGGAATACAACTGGCAATTACAAAAATGAAACATGTGTGAAGGAAGTGCCCCTTCATGGTAAGGAAGAAATGGACACCCCCCACAATAATGATACCCCAGAAGGAAAAAACGAGGTAGCCAAAGTGGATGAATTGCCTAAAGACTCTACCGGACATTTAAAGCTTAGCAAATATATATGCCCCTTACATATATGCTACGTGTGCAAAGAATTTTATATCATCAATTTGGAAAAGGTAAAGAATAAAAGAAGCAATTGTCTGTTCAGGTGTCTAATGTGCCTCAAGTCAGTTCACCTCCATTGCATGACTGACAATTATATTATTTCATTTAAGCAGAAAATTATGTTTTGCTCAAGTCACATTGAGTATTATAAGAAGAAGCACATGGAAATGTTACTTAGTCGGTTTGAAAAACTCACCAAAGGTGTGGAAGAGGACAACCTTTCCCGTGTTAGGGGTCTGGTTACCGTTACGAATCCAACGAGCATTACCTCCACGACGGGTCATAAAAAAAAAAAGGGAAGCAGCGGCAGCAGAAGTGTCAGCAGAGGTGCCCAGCGAAGTGACTCTCATCCCTTAACCCTACCTCCCCAACCTATGGGCGAAAAGGACAACATGGCACGTTCCTCCAGCAGGATTACGAATCCTGAAGGGGAACCCACCCACCTAGGGTTAAATCAGTTTGAGAAAGGCAACAATACAAATGTGCTTCCTCCATCTTGTGAGGAGGAAGAGGCACAGAATGTTGAGCCACCGGGGAACATAATAAAACCCGGCACCTTCCAAAACGGTGTTATAACAAATGGGGAAGATAAGCAAATTTTCGAAGGAGAAAATGATAGAAGTAGAATTGCTCGTAATATTCCTGTCAGCAGTGTTGTACCCCATAACTTGGGCCAGAAGAAGGAGAAGGAAAGAGTTATATTTGACTTAACCAATGAAGAGGGTCAAAAACAAGGCCTCCACTTTAGAGATGAATTGCAGATGAGGAATTCTGGCGAGGAGTATGAGTCGAGCAAGTGGGTTGACAAGGACATCCCCCTAGTGGTGGAGTCCACGAAGGGGAAGAACCCTTACATGCAGGAAGACCTTCAAACAAATGCAAGTAGTAGTGAAGTCCCCCCCAACGGTATTCATATTACCCTGTCGTCATACCGCAGTTACAAAGGAAATGTGCAGCCAGTGAGCGAAATCGTTGGCGCTGCGCAAGGAGAAAAGGAGGCGATCCATATGGAGATGAAAAACGGCACGATGGGTGAACAGGCAAAGGAACGCCAAAACGAAAATGAAGAAATGAATGAAGAAATGAATGAACAAATAAATGAAACAAAAAATGATGGAACAAATGAAGAACGAAATGAAGGAAGAAACGAAGAAAGAAACGACGATGCAAATTTTAAAAACAAAAAAAGGAAAGGTTCAAATATTAACGACATTGAAATATTGAAGAATTACAATTTGGACATAAACATGTTGAGCGATTTTACGAAGAACCACCCAGAGTCCAGCATAATACAGAATGTTAATTCTTTAGCGAAGCGGATCTGCGTCGCTAGTGGCACAGCTGAGGGGGGGGAGGCCGTGCCAACTGTCGTTGCCAGGGTGGAGAAGAGTCCCCTCGACGCTGTCGCCGTGCAAGGTGGAGCGAATCAAATTTGCAGCAAAGGGGTGAATGCACACATAAAAGAGAGACAGTCAAAGGGAGGGGAAGCCGTAGCTACGCGAAACTTGAAAAATATTAGTAGTTGGAAAATGGAGCAATTGTGTAAGAACCTGTTATCTCCTAAGAAGATCTGCGACATGTACACAAGGGAACACTTCCAAAGCGAAGCGGAATATAATTATTACGTCCTGATTAAGGTTAGGAGAATTCTGCACATGGAGAAGTCGCTGTTGGCTTTAAACGAAATGAACCCAAAAATGATAAGTGAAGAGTGTGAAGAGTACATAAACATCTTGTGCACCTTTCGGGAGGACTTTATAAATTTTGTTATTTTTCTTTTTAAGAAGCGGAGCCCTGGTGAAGCACTCACTGTGGGGTCTAAGGGGGACCGCCAATATGGGTCACACAGTGGGTTACAGAATGGTTGCTCAAATGAAGCGCCCATCGAGTACATAACTGGAGAGGAAAAAGAGACCCACAAGAATGGAGCCAAACTATCCACACCCCAGTGTGTAAGTAAAAATCAAGGCAGAACGGCCAGCAGTAGAAAAAATTTGGTGAAGTGGGGCCAACGTAGTAATGATGCCACCCCGAGTGTAACTGATGGCAAAGTAGAAGAGTGCGTGTTGGATCAGGAGGTAAAGAAGAACACGGTTCGTGAAAACACTAACCAGTATGCGAGTAGGGATAAATATGGAGATGGAGAAGAAGCAGCTGTGGATGTGGTCGCCGCTAACGGAGCCGCTGCTTATGAAGAACGGGGCTGGAGGAAAAACGAGGAGGAGAATATTAAATGGGTCTCCAACGATTTGTTGAACATATTATACAAGGAGCTCAAAAACACAACCAGCATTATTGGGCCCACTGTGAATGAAAGAACGCGTCAAGGATTACGGCTGGGCAAGAGTTTCCATGTGGAGGATGACTTACAAGGTGTAGTAGACCTTAACAGAGTAACAGTAGGGTCTGGCCTTGAGAACCGAACCTTGTGCATGAGGCAAAGTAGGTGTTTGAATGACGAGCTGAAGGGGAAAGGGAACCTTCCCATGGGTAGTAAAAAAGGAGACACTACAGAGTGGGGTGAAGAAATAGGTAGCGGAAGATCCTTTGGTGGAAGAATAAACGCACGAAATGGTGGTGACGTGAAATCAGCACACATGTTGCATACCTTGGAGGGTAGATCAAACCAGGTGAATGATTATAATGGAGAAGTGGATGAGGACATTGGAAAGGGAAAGAGAAAAATTTTCAAAAATGGAAAAATGGATTTAGCGGATTTTTCACAGCTAATGAAAAATGGATGCAAACTAGATGTAAGCTTTTTAAAAAAGTACAGTTTCTATTGGAACTTTGAATACATTTCCACAAATATATATTTGAATGATCAGAATAAACATTTATTGTCATGCAAATCTGATGACTACAGATGTTTGTGCCAGGGGGAGTGTAACCCCTTCACTTGCTACAATTCACTGAGCAAGATTCAGTGCTCCAAGAGCAGGTGCAACTTACCAATACAGATTCAGGACAAAAAGTGCTTTAACCGGCCATTCAGGCAGTCCGCGGTGAAGGACTTAGAGGTGAGGCAGGCAATTATCGCCCGGGCGTAACTCTTCATGTGTGTACATGTTTGCCGATTATCTCTTTACGATTTGCTTTTTTTGCTGTTCTTTTTTTTGTTGTTTTTTTTTTTTACGTTACGTACACGCTTTCCCATTGTGTGCATCATCACAACCACCTCGCGCAGATTAAAGAGACAGAACGAACTGGATATGGCGTGTTTTGCAAGCGGGACATAAAGAACGGGGAACTTATATGCGAATACGTTGGGGAGGTGCTTGCGAAGAAAGAATTTGAGGACAGGATGGAATCGTACCAGGAGGAAAGCAAAAAGGCTGATATGTACAACTGGTACTCAATTCAGATTAATCGTGATGTCCACATTGATAGTAGGAAGAAGGGAAACATTTCCAGATTTGTGAACCACTCATGTTCTCCCAACAGCGTTTCACAGAAGTGGATTGTGCGAGGGTTCTACCGGATTGGCATATTTGCCCTGCAGGACATTCCCGCCGGGGAAGAAATAACATACAACTACAGGTAAGGAGTTACGTGCGAGTAGCTCCTTCGCGTTAAGCGGCGTCGTTTCTCTTCTATATGTGTGCCGGACTTGCATACATACAATTTGTATTGTTTCCCCCATTTCTTGCTCCACTTCTACCTCTCTCCCCCCCCCCCCCCCCTCCATTTCCTCCGCAGCTACAACTTTGTGTTCAACAATTTCGAGTGTCTGTGCAACTCTGCCAACTGCATGAACCACACCATGAAGAAGAAGGAAGAGACGGAAAACGAAATGAGTGATATTGAAATAAAGGACAATGACATATTCAACCCGATAGAAAATTTCAACAATCTGCACAGGAAGATGCAGGACTGGATTGTCAACCTAGACACTGTAGAAACCAAATCATTATACAAGTATAATAAAATGAACGCCATTAATTTAAGGCTAATGGAATGTTTTTCCACTTGGGTTTTTTATGACATGAATTTGGACAAGCATCAATTTTCATCCCTGAGGTCTAAGCCATTTAGTGCTCTGAGCGAATTTTGGAAAATCCTGGTTTCGTCCTTTTCCGATGGGGAGAAGAATATGATAAATGGCTTCAATTTGTTTTTGCCCTCTCTGATCAAGATTGGCCAGCTGCGCAGGATTCAGCAGGTGCGTGCGGGTGTCATAGGCGTTTTGTGAAAACATGTTTTTATTTGCTTCATTTTATTACGTTGCATTTTATTACGTTTCATTTAATTGCGCTTTATTATGTTTCCCCCCCCCTGCAGTATAGCTACATCCTGCACAACATTGTGGGCGCGGAGCACGAGATGTGGAATCTCATCGACAAGGGATTTGCGGACGACGAGGTATGCAGGAAGTGCAAAGGCTGCGGCAACCTCACCATGTGCGATAAGTGCTTTAACAGCTACCACCAGATTTGCGGAAGCATGCACTCCAAGGTTTACAAAAACAACGAATTAGTGTTGTGCAAATTTTGCCAAAAGTATGATTATAAAATAAAGTGGATTAAGCAAAGCTACAGAGAACGAATGAAGTGTTCCATTGAGATTAGGAGTAGAGCCTTTTACAAACTAAACAGGGATATCGTCACGCTGCTCGAACAGGCGGTAAAGTACACCAAGGACATGTCCATGTCGGCCATCAACGAGCACAACTCCAAGGAGTATAACAACAAAAAGCTCCGCCTCAAAAAGTTCCAGTACAAGTATGTCAAGATATGAAACGGGGGTAGGGAGTGGAAAAGGGAAGTAACGGGACGAAGAGGAGAGCAATATGACACTGTGTATGCCTGCCCCCCCACTTTCTGCTTTACACATTTTTCACGTTTACGTTAACGCCTCGTCGCATGAGGCGATGTGCGCATAGCTTCGGTCAAGTGGTAAGATAGGGCGCCATTTGTACCCCAGCTTCAGTCCAATCAAGAAAAAAATTAATCATCGCGTGCACGTCACTTTAGCACTTTTGTCTTTTCATAATTTGAAGACTTTCTACGGGGACAACCAACCAGCGTTTTTCCCCATTCCCTGCATATCTCATTGTTTTTTTTCATGTTCGTCTTTGAGCAAGTTGTGGCTCCCATCTGGTTTTAATCGCTTTTTTTTTTTTTTTTTTTTTTTTTTTTGTGTGCCAGCAACCTCGATAATCTTGTAGCATTGGTTCCCCCAATGATGATTCAATTTTTTCAGTTCGTTTATTCGCCCATCCCCTTGTGCCATTCTTGCCGCCCACCACTTTGGGGCGAAACGGCCAAGAGCGTTCAAAAGCAAGTGATTGTTTTTTAATTATCCAACATGTTGATAAGATATTCCACACAGTTTTTATCCCATTTTTTGCCTTTTTTTTGGCCTTTTTTTTCACGTTTTTTTTTTTTCCACGTATTTTTATCATTTCCAAACACACGACTCTTCTGACGTTGCTATGGCCTTTAAGTTGTCTCAACTTTGGTAGCAGCCCACCTGTTGTTGGAACTGGTTGTGCCACCCCATAGTAGTTGCGCCTGAAACGGTTTAGCATTTGTCTTTTTTGCTCTCGTTTAATTTGCCTCGAACGTTGACCTCAGCGGTGCTCTTTCCCGCGTTTATTTTAATAGCTTTATAGCAGTTTTCACCTGCGTGTGCAAATGTTTTTCTCTCCCTTGTGAAGACACGAACAGGGTGAAATTTTCAACAAGCACAAGAGGAACTCACCGCCCCCCCAAAAAAAAATCATTTGGCAAATACAAAAAAAGGAAAACTTTCGTCAATGTTACAAAAAAAAAAAAAAAAAAAGGAATATTATGTTATCCTTCCATTTAATTTTTTAACAACCGCTTATCAGTAGCGATAAAAACAAAAAAAATGCCCCTCCGTTAGGAGATTCAAAAAAGTGTGCGTTGTGAAAACTATGGTGGCGTAAGCGAGCGTGAAATGTCCCCACGGGGAACAAAACTTGCCAATGAGTAGTAAACTCCCTCCATCATAAGTATCATGGAAAAGGGGAAAAAACCAGATCGACTCGTAAAATTGTCGTACAGTCACATGTACAAAAGAGTGTAAATCTACTTGTTTTTATACTTCCCTCAAGAAAAATGCATTTTGAGGAAACATTTTTAATTTTTTTTTTTTAAAGTCATGACAGGTATCATTTTTTTTTTTTTTTTTTTTTTTTTCGTAAATGCAGAGTTACACCTTTTCCAAATGACGCCTGGATCTAAGTAAAATTATTTACAGCATGCATCCATATGTATACGATTACAAACGTATGCGTATTCCTTTTTGCTTTTTTTTTTTTTGTTTTTGTCAGAGACATTTTCTTTCCTAGCGCTCGCAAAAACACGTGAGTTGTATGGTTAAATTCGTGTTGGTATGCCCACGTGCATAAGAGTGTTATGTTCATTTGTTCCTTTGCATTTTCATGGCTATTCGTTTCATTCGTGTTTATGCATTTTTTCGCGACGAGTGTTCCGCTCGCCCATGCGTGTGTCAAGTGACTATTCGTTTTACGTGCGTATCATGTGATCATTCGTTCCATTTGTGTATGCCGAATTATTTGCTTATCCCCAGTTTACGCTGGGAAATTTTACTTTCTTAGTCCCTCTCGCGAAAATCATGTAAAGGGCGTTCGCGGGAACCAGGAGAAACGCACACAGGGTGAATTAACCACCCTTAGATATAGAAGCGGCGTTTTTACGTTATGGTACAGTGTTATTTTTACCCCTATTTCGTAATTTTTTTTTTTTTTTTTTTTTTTTTTTTTGTTAATGTAATTTTCCCCATAGCGCGGTGTATATGCGTGCATGTGCGCGTTTTACACAAACGTGGACAATTTTCCCATCGCCTTATTGTCTTTCTGCACCCGCATCTCTGAATTTAAAAATGAATCAATTGGCACGAATGAATTAAAAGAGGCACGCACTTTCTAAGAGAAAGGAATGCGGCGTCCTTTTTTTTTTTTTTTTTCCAAGTTTATTTTATTTCGTATTATTTGAGCCGCTGCGGTTAGCCAATTTAACGCATTTTCCCGCTTTCCCATTTTTGCATTTCTGTCTAGTGAGTCTAGGGAAGGAGGCCATACGTCTGGCACACGAGGAGAGGGCGCGGTGAGCACGCGGATCACAGGCACGTCTCTTATAAGCGTATCCGCACACGGAATGGCGCAGCGTCCCTCATTCGTGTGAGAATGCCTCCTCAGTTGGTCAAAGTATAAGAGCCCTGCTGTCTGGCCTTCCTTCTGTCTGTACTTCCTTCCCTTTGCTTTTTCTTTTTCCGTTCGTCCACACGACAATTGCTCATTCGACACAGCACTGTCAGCGTGCCGTGTTCCCTCATCCCCTGTAGACAGAAACACTGGGGGTGTTACACGTGCTATACGCATCACAAGCAGCACACGACGCGCGTTCGAGATACGAGACTGTGCTGAAGCTGTGGAGGAGGTGCTGCGATGGATAACAGGAAGTTCCTGCGAATAGGGAAGAGCGTCGTGCATGGGCGAACGGGGCCGCTGAGGGGGGACATGGGGAATGCGACGGAGGAGCAGGAGATGGGGAAAGGCGCAGCAAGGGGTCGCAATAGCGCCAGTAATAGTGGCGCTAATAGCGGCCAGGGCGCGAGTGGCAGGCCGGTCAGAGAAGCGGCGCAGGATGAAAGCGCGCTGAACAGCCACTTCAACGCGCAGGAGGGCGAAAACAACAGCGGTGATATTTTCGAGCAGCTACTCCAGAGAGAACTTGCCAAGGGAGCCTTAGGCGGCGGAGTGGTGGGAAAAAACGTGAGTAAGATGAAGGGAAGAATGGGTGAAGATAAGGACGAAGAGTTTGAAAAAGGAAAAAACAGTTCAAATAGAGGAGCGTATGACAAGAGAGAGAATATGACCAACAGCGCAAGTGTACATGATCAAACAGGTGGAAGTAATGTAGGTGGTGGAGAAGACGACACAGAAGATTTAGCAAATGTCGACCTAACAGTACGAATAAACAGCAGTCAGGTAAGATTTCGAATGCATGGGTATAATGAAGTGATTAAATGTTTCACCAGTGAAGACAACACAAAAGAAAAAATGGAAATGGTTAATCTGCTTTTTAAAGATGAAGACAAAATTGTTAAATATTTAGGAGACAATAATTTAATATGTCAAATAAAGGCCGCCGAAATGACCGCAGAGTATATTTGTGTACTGAAGGAAATTCATTTTTATAATTTCAAGGACATGTACAAAAATGAGGAGGAATTAATAAATTCGTTTGTTAACGATGTGAAGAATAAATTATTTTCCATATTTTCAAAAATTGAAAAAGTGCTAATTGAGAAAATTTTAACCAACGCCAAATCTTTCGATAGTGGTTACAATATCGTGAGCAAGACAATTGAGTTTTGTTCAAGTGATAAGATAACCCTAAATATACTGTCCATTCTGTGTGAACATATGCATGGAATATATTTGAAGGCAAATAAATCAGTATCAAATATTAAGGGGGTTAAGATTAAAGTTATCTCATCCATTCTCCAAGTGCTACACAAATTGCTCCATAATTTTGGAGCTGCCCTCATATGCGTAAAGACGCTAAACAAGTTTTGCTTCAAGTTTAACGAAATGATGGATAAAAGTGTGAAGAGCAATTTTTACCTCCTCTATATTGAAATGCTTAGCCAGGTGAAAAATGCAGAATTTCAAAATTGCATTTTGAACGAGCTGAACAGCCAACAGAAGAACTACATAACGAAGGAACTACAAAAGGAGGAATACCAAAGAGGAACAGGGGCGAAGCGATGGGTGAGTACTTACCTACTTAACCAGTATAGCAATGGAGAAGGTAGAATGAGGGGAGATGAAGATGACAATGTGAATGACAACTCGTTTTCAAATGGTAATGTAAATAACTTAATTGAAGAGGCAGATGTTTTTAAGGAAATTTGTACAAAGCAGTGGGAAAAAAGAGTGTTGGAAGGATGCATCGATAAGAATGTCAACAGCGGCAACAACAACAACAGTAGTAATAACTCGTTAAGCAATGAAAACTTATTGCCGTGGAAAATCAAAGTGGAAGCTATAAATCTTTTATACGATAAAATGAAGGCCAAGTGTGCAATTAAGAAGACGCCATATATCAGCACCATTTTAAACATAATTAACAAGTTACTAAAAAATGAATCCGCTCTCCCCGTCGTTGTGTCCACCCTGAAATTACTTCACGTGATGATAGAGAAATTTGAAAAGGAGATATACACCACTGTCAAGTCCTTCTCTTTTGTCTTGTGTGCAAAATTGAAGGACTCAAACAAGCAGGTATCCAATGCTTGCATGGAATGTTTGACTAAAGCGATTTGCGTTTACAATATGGACATTTTTATCGACGATTTATCGAAGAACCTTAAGGATAAAAATAATAACACTAGAATGGTCACCCTCGATTTTTTGCTCAAAGTTTTTGACCATGTGGATAGGAAAAACGTCGTCTCCATTATTGAGATCACCAAACATTTGCTCAACGACACTGTTGCGAATATTAAAAATATGACATGCAAAATGTACTCGCTCATTTTGACGAGCTTTGGGGAAGAGGTACATCCTTCCTTCTTTGCCTCTCTCCCCTCGAACAAGAAAAAGTCCATTTTGGCTCTCTGCACGGGCAGTATTGGGGGGAAGAGCAAAGTAGCGGGGGGTGTTGATGCAGGAAATAACAGTGTTGGAAATGCGGTGGGTCGTCCACCCAACGGAGAAGACACAATTGGTGGTAGTAGGACAACCGGGGGTGCTTCTACGCAAGGAGATAATGTCGAATTGGTGTTACCCAAAAACGTCACAGCACATTTGAAGTCGAATAATTACACAATGAAAATAGAAGCGATACAAGAATTGACCAAATGGATCAGCTCCGAAATGAACATGGTAAATGTACACCTAGAAAATTTACTAAACTTTATAAAAAAAAATTGCTACGATTTTAAAGGAAAGTACATCCAGTTGAATAATTCCATATATGATTTTTTTAATCAGTTGGTAGATCACTTGTACCATTTTAATATTCACCAAGGGAACAATCCCCACTTTGTTAAAGTTATGAATCTCCTCATTCCACTTTACATGGAGAAGACGAAGGACAAAAAGGACGCTGTCCTTTGTAACAATTTCCTTCAAAAGTGTTTTCACTATTTTGACGATAACCTAATTATGGACATTGTGATAAAAAACAGTGATGCAAAAAATGCTAAAAAGTGCGAGGAGTGTATAAAAATTTTGCAGAAGATATTTCTCTCCAGGGGGACTACTAACGGTGGGGCGTCCACAGCGAACGGCTCCACTGCGAACGGCTCCTCCACGAACGGCACCTCCGCGAACAGTTCCTGCACCCCCAGTGTTAACGTAAAGAGTCTTATCTTTTTCCTAAAAAAGTTCGTCGACTCGAAGAACACAAATTTGAAAAATTCCTCCATCCTGCTGTTGCAACTATTGAGTAGGAACTATGGAAATAAATATGTTCTGTCCCACTTGGAGGGCATCTCGGAGACTGTTCGTCAATCGGTTAAATCGAAGGAGGACGTGGAGCGCTTCGTGCAAAGGCAGGGTCTGCAGTCCTCCGCCTCTTTGGTGCAACATACGGGGGATACTAACAAGGGTGCAGGGTCCCATGTTAGCGGACATCCGAGCGGCTGCAACACCAAATGGGAAGAGGCCCACCAAGACGAACCCTCATCTGGGGTCAACAACAACAACGTCGAAATAGACTACACCAACACGTACCTGAATTATAAGAGCACGAAAATAGTTCCGAAGAAAGGAGACGGGGAGGAGCAGTTCTCCGCTCATATGAAAATATCAAATGAGCAGGAAAGGGGGAACGTGTCAAATGGGCACGGCCAGGTAGATTGCGACGAAGGGGATGTCGAGGAATATGACGACCACGATGACAAGCAGGAAGAGGAGGAGGAAGAAGAAAAAATGGTGAACATAAGTGACATGGTTAAGCAGCACGTGAACCATATAATGAGCGAAGGAAATCAATCAAATTATCACATCACAAAAATTATTAACATAATTGAAAAGGTGGGCAAATATTATATTAACCCTAACAAGCTAGAAGTCCTTATTAACAAGGACACCTTGCACAAAATATTGAATATAAATAAGAGCAAATGCGCGGAGCTCTTGTACGTTCTCATGTTTTCCTTAAGAGATAATGTGTACCTATTCGTTGATCCCATCCTGGACTGCATCTTAAGAATGATTGACGACGCAGACATTGGTATTGAACAGATCGATAAGCTACTCTCGTGTATGTGTAAGAACGTAGGAATTTCTAAATACATTGGGCATATTAATGGGTTCATTATGAGTGAGAAGTTGAATAATATGCGGGAGGACGGCGGAGGGGGGAATGTCTCCATCCATACTAGTGGTCAATCGGGTGGCCGTATGGATAGCCAAGTGAAGCGACCCGCCAAGAGGAACAAGATACAAATTCTTATCAACAACATCAATACGAACCATATTCTTCTTTTAAACGAAAATGTGATTAAGAAAAAGGTCCTGAGGTTCTACTTGGACCTCTTTTTGGATGACCATGAACAAGTCAGGCAAAAGGCTAGCATAGTGCTAGATCATATTTATGCAAAATACAAGGGAAATATTTTTTTAGAAATTTATGAAAAATTATCTCTTCATAAGAAGGAATGTCTTCATGATATTATAAATCAAATGAAAATATGCAAGGAGGACTTTTCCTTTTATTCAATTCTCATTTCGAACAGTTCACAAATGAAAAGAATTTCAAACAGCGAACATAATCTGAGTGCCACAACTCCAACGATGTCCAAGTCCAGGAGCATTAAGAGGCTTAGTTCTATTAACAAGAATAAAATGTTAAAAATTGAATTTCCGCCATATCACAAAATAAAGGTGGACAACTTGAAATGGGAGAAGCACCTGGACCAGGCACACACCAACTACCTCATGAGGGAGTTCAAGCCGTTTAGCAGTTCGGAGCTGATGCTGCACATGTTTAGTGATAATGCGAATATGGTTAACAGGTGAGGGGGTCGTGGTGTCGTCATCGGTTCGATTGCTTCACGTGCCATTTGCCCCTTTTGCACGTCTTTCATTTCCACATTTGCACATTCACCCCCCCCCCCCCCCCACGCAGGAGCATCCTGTTTTTTAAGGACTACCTGAGCAATAGCTCCAACCAGTCGACGTTTTTCTCCAAGTCAGGGTTCCTGGACCTGCTGCTCAAGTGGATCTTCTACACACTGAATGGTCACCAAAACAACAACGAGCTGCTTTGCGCCTGCATAAATTTGCTTCGGATAATTCTAAAAACGATCGAAGACAATTATGTGTACCTGAATGAGCAGGAGCTGGTCATTTTGGTCAACTTCATTTGGGACCGCATGAACAGCGGGGCCACCTCCTCGGAGATACGAAGTGAGTGCTTTGCTTGGTTGGAGATAACCCCCGCGCGTGTGCTGCTGTGTGTATATGCATACATGCGTGCATGCTTCGGACACGAATGTCATTTCCACCGCCACACCTGTCCCGCAATTTAGAAAAACTGAAGGAGATTCTCCTCTGCCTGTGCTACATCTCGGACCACAAGCTTTACTTTTCCCTCCTGTTGAAGAACCTTTCGTCGTGCAATCAAAAGTGAGTCTGCGGCGAGAGGGGGGGAAAAAACACTCATCATTGTGATGGGTGAACGAAATGCACCCCCGCCCACCCACTTGTGCGCTTGTAGTGGCACATGACTTCAGCTTGTTCATCTGTGTGGATGATTATATAATTTTTTTTTTTTTTCCCCAGGCGTATATGTGCCTCGCTGGACATAATTCTGAAGTTGATAATTTTGTACAAGGACAAATGCCTGCATGTTGAGAAGGACGTGATGAAGATTTTGCAGGTCTTCACAATTCATAGTAAAAATAAAAACGTGACGATGTACTGCTTGAAGATTTTTGCCAACATTCAGTCCTTCTGCCCCACCTTTTACAAGTGAGTTCGCGCTGTGTCTGTATTGGAGGCGTTACCAGCTTTTTTATATTTATTGCCGCTTTTTAGCGCCGCGTTGCGAATAGACCGCATGCGCATGTAGAGCAATCGCTAACACCCCGTGACCCCCTCTCAGGTGCATTGACAACGATGACATCTCGACCTACATAAAAAGGAAAGTGGATGAATTTGTTGAGAACTGTCCCGATTACAAGATTGCCCCGAAGGACACCGAGGGTAAGTGGAAGCAATCACAGTACCTACTGAAGGAGAACCGCTTTGCTAACCAAATCAACGCCTCTTCATCACCATTATGTGCCTCCCCTTTCCTCCTTTTCATCCCCCCGTTAGACGACGAAAATAACAGCTCCTACCAAAGCGACGACTCCGAAGGTACGAAAAAAAAAAAAAAAAAAAAAAAAAAA